TTTTAACAAAAAAAGGTATTTGCTTTCAAATTTAAAGATTTACATCAAGAAGAGGGAAGTCATAATGTGACCGTGCAAACACATTTAGGTCTTCCACAACATAAGTGAGACGTGGATGCCAACAAATCTACAGGAAGTCTTTTTCTTTTGTGGACATATTGCTGTGGGCTAAAACAACACGGCGAGCCATTACTATTCAACATGCAGCATAAATCCAGAGATGTGAGCCTTCCTACGAGCTGAGCAGAGGGAGGCAGGCGCGCAGCCAAAACGAGAGAGCCGGTGAGACGGGCAGGCTGGAGACTCAGTTATAACCCAGGCAGACAGGCAGACGGGTGGAGGGAGAGGAAGACAGGTGCACAAACAAAACAGCCAGCTAAAGAGATAAAGCAGGCACCAGATCCAGGGTGTTTCACACAGATTAAATTCATCTTAAGGAAGCGTTTCTGGACCACCGTCAGAATGCCTGCTCCTCGGCCACAAGATCTTTTTGCGTGTCTTGTCTTCCCCTGTAGCTGTAACCACCGACTTTCTTTCCTTTCTCTGAGTAGCAACATAAAAACTGAAAGGAATTCAGAGATAAAAGTTCAGCTTTTCAAATTCTCCAAGGATGCAATCAGGGAAACCCAACATTTTTTATAATTAGTTTGGCATGAAGTTAAGAAAAGAGTTGCCTGGATGGGTCCACAGGGGATAAAAGCCTCCTAAGAGCCCCTCTTAAAGTGAACCTGTTGTCTTTTCCCTTACTTTTGTGTCAGATACAGTACATACTGTTACAAATGGTACAGACTGTACTGCCTTTTCCGTTTCAAACTTCTTCTCTGCTCCTGGCTCTTTATGACATCAAACAGGACAGGCGGCTCTGGCTGTAAACACAACTGCCCTATCAATCTGTAGCACCAGCTATTTTTTTAGGAGGGGCAGCCAATGAGAAAAAAGCTGTCAGTGAGGGGAAAGAGTGCTAAATTGGAGCAGCCAGCTCTGTTTATTCAATTTGTTTTTCTTCTTTGAATGGTTTAAACATACAAGGGAAATGTGTTGTTAGTGAGCTTTGCATTTTTAGGCACAGCTGTGACAGAGGTATTGATCTTTTAATCTAACTCTGCAAGAAAACCAATAAGTCCCAGGGCCAGTCCTTTACATCTGTCAGATATATGTTCTGCTGTGTAAAGCGTACATACTGTAATTATGGCTCCAAAATTACACCCACAGTGTGATTCGTTTTGCTCATAATCCCCTGTCAGCACACAGGTCTGTGTATAAAGTGTGTGCAGTTTTTCTAGCACTGTGCAGCTTTGCTTTGAAAAGAATTAAATGTACAGAGGAGAACACCGAAGCTTGAAATTTAATGACAAGTGCGTCTTCTTTGGGGTATTTTAATGCTTTTCTTTTGTATATGCAGAGTAACACTGGTGTGGAGACACACAATGATGGGTGCACTTGTCTTTTTCATGACTTCAAATTGTTCATTTCTCAGAAATCGGTTTAAAAAAACCAAAAAATACACCTTGCTGTGCTGTGAGTCAGCGAATGCGCTCTTTGCACTGATGATGTAGCACAGGGCTGTAATTTGGACTCATTTCAGGTATAAAGTAAAGGTCTGTGTGATGCCATTATGAAAAAGACAGACATACGAAATCAGCAGCATCAAAAAGTACTTGCTATGCAGCTGTGATTTTCTTTTCTGTAAAACATGCTTCAGCACAGCTCCCACTGCTTCACTTTAAAAAAAAATATTTCTACTTGTGTTCTCGCCCTGCGTCTTTTTAATTTGCGTGTCTTCTCTGAATTAGTCTGCCATGCACAGCGTGTGCCAGGAGGAAATCAGAAATAGAAATCCAGACTATCAAAGGTTTGCTCTCTGCACATAATCTTTAAGAGATCAGCAAGCAGCTATGTGCAAACGTGGCGATTACTAAAATTCACCAAAGGACAAATTCAGCATTCGAATTAGATCAACTTTTTGTTTGATGCTTTACAGCATTGGAGCTTTTCTGTGACCAGTGATTTTAAGCTTGGAGATGAGTGAGCTGAACTCTGCACGAGTGAAATCAACGCTTAAACTAGCAAGCTTCAGAGTGGGATTCAAACCAAGGGCCTCACATCATGCACTGCAACAGCAGCAGAAACAATAACAGCAGCAGCAGCTCCTGAGGCTGTTGCTGTGACACTGACAGCAGGCCCACACCTAACAAGGACTGCTATCCCATTTAGTTAATTCCCGCCTGGCTTGGCTCCTTTATGGCAGCAGTGGGGGTGTGCAGCATGACGAAGAGCTTGCCAGTAATAAAGCATTAGCATATTGAACTGAACTGATAAACTTGTCAATCACTTGGAGGCCCCACTGCCAGCATTGTTTTGTTTGGTGTGTAGGTGTGCACGATTTATCCCCATTTCCTACCACCGTGTGTCTCATCCACGTGCTCTGGCGACACATGTGTATGCAGGTTATCACATCAGGCCAGTAAATGTTGAAAACAAGTGGGGGTGGAGGGACTGTTAAACACATTTATATATGGATCTGTGATGCACAGAGGACTGTGGTGTGTGAAGTAAGTGCATAATGTCTGCATTTTCTCCCCTTTCTTCCACTGAAATATAATTTTTAGTTGTAGTTTGATGACTTACACCACGACTTATAAATCATTAAAAAACAAAGCAGCACTTTCAAATCTTTAAAGCAGGTGATTAAACTGGAAAGTTGTTGGAGACGCACTGGGATGAATTCTCTGCTCTATCGGTGCCTTTCAAAAGGCTGATTGCAAAAGATGAACAGCCACAGGCGGGTGCCCCCCCGCCCCCCGCCCCCTCCTCCTCCCTCCTTCGCTTTCCTCATCCATCCATCCGCGCTTCCCTCTGCCTCTGCCGCTGGATGGTGCGTTTTTAGGACCCCACGGAGGAGGAAACCCGGAGCTTTTCCCCTCTGTCTGATGGAGACGGCGCTGAGGAAAGGAGCGAGTCCGGTCGGCGGAGACCACCTCGAGGATCCTGCAGGAAGGACTTCGCTGCTGCTGTAGGAAGGCGAGAGAGAGGGGGAGAGGAGCGAGAGGGGAGACTCGGGAGGTAACGGGCCGTTAATAACCTGTTGTTGGTGTGTTTTTGTTTGTCGTTCATAAAGAGGAGAGCCGAATGAGCGACGTGAGAGCGACACGTTAGCCGTGCTGGACTGACTGGGCTGGATTTCTAAAAGAGGAACTGGCATTATTATCTCTGTTTCGCCCTCCGCTCTAACGTCCTGCTCATGTTTATTTTTTCATTAGATTTTATGAAAATCACGCGTTTTTCTATCAAAAGCAAATGATTGTGAGTTAATTTGTTCATTTGCCATTTCTGCAGGCGTACGCTCTTCAGAAGGCGTAAAACGAGATGTTAGTTTTATTTAATCCTTTTTCTTTTCTTTCTTTTATACATTTTGTTGCTCATTTAAGTCAACAATAGAAACTGCAGCACATCAGACTGCAATTCAATTACAGCAGCTGGCTGGAGCCTTTTAATTTAAAAGGAGAAGGGCTGAGAGCGCCGCCCGAAGTCTGGACGTGGAATCTGTACAGAGCGTAAACTGGGATCATATCTGATCTAGAACAGCAGCCCGGCTTTACTTCATAAACAGAGCTGTCACTGCATTGTATTTAATCACCTGTTCCTCTGAGGGGCCACCGGGGCCCGTGATGTTACACAGATGATAACCTTCTTACATCATCTGATCCTACCAGTTTCCAGACAGCAGAGGATTAAAATAGAACATAAAAAGAAATAAAGAAGG